TTTCCAGATCACCACAAGTAAACACACCAGTCGCTGCAGTTTCACTAGACCGATACATCAAGTAACAGTGTTTCTGATCACCACCACACCAGTCGCAGTTTCACTAGACCGATACATCAAGTAACAGTGTCCCTGATCACCGCCACACCAGCTGCAGTTTCACTAGACCGATACATCAAGTAACAGTGTTTCTGATCAGCACCACACCAGTCACAGTTTCACTAGACCGATACATCAAGTAACAGTGTTGATCACTGCCACACCAGTCAGTTTCACTAGACCGATACATCAAGTAACAGTGTTTCTGATCACCGCCACACCAGTCGCAGTTTCACTAGACCGATACATCAAGTAACAGTGTTTCTGATCACCACCACACCAGTCGCAGTTTCACTAGACCGATACATCAAGTAACGTGTTTCTGATCACCACCACACCAGTCGCAGTTTCACTAGACCGATACATCAAGTAACAGTGTTTCTGATCACCACCACACCAGTCGCAGTTTCACTAGACCGATACATCAAGTAACAGTGTCCCTGATCACCGCCACACCAGCTGCAGTTTCACTAGACCGATACATCAAGTAACAGTGTTTCCCTGATCAGCCGCCACACCAGTCACAGTTTCACTAGACCGATACATCAAGTAACAGTGTTTCTGATCAGCACCACACCAGTCACAGTTTCACTAGACCGATACATCAAGTAACAGTGTTTCTGATCACCGCCACACCAGTCGCAGTTTCACTAGACCGATACATCAAGTAACGGTGTTTCTGATCGCCACCACACCAGTCGCAGTTTCACTAGACCGATACATCAAGTAACAGTGTTTCTGATCAGCACCACACCAGTCACAGTTTCACTAGTCCGTTACATCAAGTAACAGTGTCCCTGATCACTGCCACACCAGTCGCAGTTTCACTAGACCAATACATCAAGTAACAGTGTTTCTGATCACCACCACATGATAACCATTGTAAGTAGATAAGTACAGCCAGCAACTGTATTCCTGAGACCTACCTCAACAATCTTTTTATAAGGAGAGTGCTGTCCAATATTCTTCTTGAGATAGTAAATCATATCCAGGCATACCATGTGGATCTGAATTTATCATGTTTGTCCTATAACAAAACAGTTAAGTCTTTCATTAGCATTGTCTCATTTGTTTTGCAAAAATCACAGGTATACAAAGAGATCGGTGAATTCCTTTTTGCACCTAGCATGGCATGACAGTGACAGGGGTTGGCCTAAAAGATAGCACCGCCAGATCTGCTTTTTTCAGTCTCAGAACTTTTTTTTTTCTCTCCAAAGATTTTCAGACACATAGCACACGTTTACTGCATACAATGCTTGGCAGTTTGTGTGTTCCAGTGCCATTCATTTAAGATGGTTACCCATTGCACAATTACAATATCATGCTTTCACATTGTGGCTTACCTTTCATTGTGCCCTCCTCCAGCAATGCAACATCTGTGCTCCCCAAAACAGAACGTAAGAAAAATGTCTCTAATGGAGCTTTGAATAGCAGTTAAATCTTACAGGAGTTCTAATTTTTTCCTCATTCCATTGAAAGCTAAAAAGAAAGATTTGGGTATAGATATACTTTAAACATCTGAAAAAAGATCTGTTTTCTTTTTGAAAGAGGATTACAGAATCACAGGTGTTAAAAGGTATATTATTGTGCAATTTATGTTTCAGATCATGCAAGGATCATTACCATTACTACTACTATGGCTGCTTGTGGTCTGTGATCAACTTTAAACCTAAAACCTTATTTCCACCATTGCTTTCCATTTGGCCTTATCTTTTGCCAGGTTAATGTTCTGTTTCATGTCACAACGGCCTGTAAATTCACCAAGTTCTTCTTCTCCTTTTCCTTTTCTTTACCTATGGCCAAAAATTAGCATTTTCTCTTCAATATTTCTTCCAAGATGTGGTTTGCTTTATGGACTCTTTGTAGCACCCCACATATACTGTATAACTGGACTTGTTCTTTAATGTTGAAGCTTATCCAATTCTCTTTTTCATTTCTAATAAACGGAAGAATTAAAAGAATTGGCATGGATAAGCTATGAAACATCTTACACATTATGGAACAAGCCTGTGTAAATGCGACTTACTACTGCTGTAAACTACATGGAAACATTGTCTGAGTGTTCCATTCAGTTTGGATTCATACATGTGTGATGTGAATTGAAGCTCAGTTTTCACAGCAAATTGACAAAAGTAGTTGTTCAGTGGTTCAGGTCTGTTTTTGATCAGATCAGATTTAGATCAGGATCAGGTCAGGATTTTATCCTGTTCACAACTGATGATATTTGTTATTCAGAAGTGTTCCCAATGAGCCTGAATTTGCACCTGAGCCAGACTGTACTGCTCAGAAAACCGGAAGGACTCTTTTTCATTTAGCACTGAATCAGCACTTTGATTGCACATCATATATGTGAACAAGCACAACAGAAACCAATGTTATTTCACATGTCATGCAAACTGGATGCGGTTCCAAATGCATCCAATTCGCATATATGTGAACCAGCTCTCAACCATGTTATGAGTTTGCTTCTAGTTTTAATACAGTAGGCCCTTTTACCAAGAGAAGAGTACTTGGGCATGTGGCAGTACAGTAATTATATATATATATATATATATATATATATATATATATTAGATTAGATTATAAGTAACATGTTTCCATTGAATCTGTTATTGTTCATTTTTTAAGGCTGGTCATAAAAGGATCTTTTTTTTTTTTTTTATCAATCAGCCTGCAGACCGATTGATAAAAAAACTAATGGAATTCCCCATCCACACAAGCAAGGTGGATGGAGGAACCCTCCTCGCTTGTGTAATTGTATTCTGACAGTAGGGACTCTCCACTGTCAGTATACACTGATGAGCACTGCAGCTGCTGATCAAATGCAAATTTTCTAACAGCCTTGACCAACAGTCTTAACAATTGACTTGTCAAGTGGGAATAGCCCTGAAAGAAGGGAAATTTAGCTTGTCCCTGCTAAATTGGTTGAACTACAGTCCATCTACGGCCAGCCTAAGGCTTGACACTTTTGTCATGTGGTAATATGCAGAAAGCCATATATTTTGTTATTTCTTTAGAATGGAATCCCCAAGCATAAGAACATTAGCTGGTAGCTGTCTTGCTCTACAATGCATCGTAATGCACATGCCATGTTTTATGGTGCACTGCGTTACACAAACAGTGCAGGTCCAATACATTCTGCATTGTGGTGTATTGACAGTTACAAAGGAATTAGTTGTCCTACAGCAAAAAATATTAATGCAAGAAATTCGGAACATGAACCTGGAAAAGTGTTTAGGGATTCTAAGGCTGGGTATACACTATACGTTTTTTTTTTTTTTGTTCAACCCAGTGGTGAAATGTACATTCATCCTGTTTATCCTGGATGTGGTCTGCAGTTTCCACAAAACACTCTTACAAGCTACTAATACTATGCAGCTTTACAAAGACAGTGAATTACAGTGAACTAGTCTTCAGGACAGGGGCGGACTGACAACTCATGGGGCCCCTGGGCAATAGGGGATCATAGGGCCCCTGTGTCCTTGCCCACCCTCAAACCACACCTAAAAAAGCCTGTAAAACGTACCAGGGGCATTTCATGGGGCCCCCTACTGACCCAGGGCCCTCGGGCAGTGGCCGAGTGTTTCGAATGGTCAGTCCGCCCCTGCTCCAATTAGGTGCTTGATTGTATTCCGTTCTTCCTATCTTCTGGTCTGCTTGCCTTAGGAGCTCACAAATTTTGCTTGTGCCCTAATTGAAGTTGTGGCCCCAGCCAACGTAACCCCACATGTTACAACACAATGCCTCTGCCTTGTTATCCTTGCATTGTAGGGTGCAGTGGGTAGGGTTTCCACCTCATCCCTTTAAAACTGAACACATATTAATTACACAGCTTCTGAGGCTAATTTATTGCAGATAAGGCACCAAGTGAGTTTAATTACCACTTTAATCAGCCACAGAACCTGTGTAATCAATGTGTGTTCAGGTTTAAAGGGATGAGTTGGCAACCCTAGCAGTGGGAGATCCACAGCTGATTTTTGCACATACCCTGATCGCTATTACTGCATGCTGGAGAGGGTATGTGAATAATCTACAGACACAGGCTCCTGTCAATAGAATGTGTCAAAACTCTATTTTACCACTGCCGATTACTCAGCAGCATGATTGTAAGGGTAAAAATTAATCTCTACGCTGTTTCTAGCTGCTGTACATGCTGTGATCTTGCTTCATGTGTGACAGATTCACTTTTACAATTTAATCACATAAAGCGCAACCGGCAACAGTGACTTATACAGCTAATTCGAGGATGGGTTTTCTATGTCTTGGAAGTATTGCATGTTGCTTATTAGCAGTCTTCTTTTGTAACTCTCAAGAGCCAAAGCTGTTTTTCAAAATTAACAAGAATCCAAGCAGCTTTTACCTTGATGCCTGCTAACTGTTCACGGACACGTCTTGTAAAACAGCTGATATATTGCATTACAAAGCAAACGTTTGTGTTATTTTCTTGTTTTCTAATTAACTAAGCTATATATTTCTAAACCCATTTTACTGTTTTCCATGCCGTGTTTTGACAGGCATGGCAAACACTTTTCCTTGTAGCGCCATTTGTTAAATGTTCTGTGACAGATGCTGAACTACCCAGATATGTGAAGAACACCTTCCAACAGTTTGACTCCAAGGACAGTGTTTTTGTCTTGATATATCTTTCAGTTGTGATGATTTGTGAGAGATACAACTACTATACAAAAATAACATAGATGCACAAAAGTCTAAATTCAGTTCAGGTACAGTTAATCTATAACACAAAAAAAAAAAAATATATATATATATATATATATATATATAGGATAGCTATATACACTCAGCCAAGGTACATTTCATGTTGTAGAATGTTGTGTTTTCAAATAAATGCTAAATTTGTGCTTATCATCTTCTTGCTCAGACAAAGCGGGTTTCCTGGGATGAACCAGAGTGGCCTTATGGGATCCAACTCTCCATACAGCCAGACCTTGAATAGCAATGCTGGCATGATGACTCCGCAATCATCCCCGTACAATATGATGAACAGTTCAGCAGGTAAATTTCACGTTTGTTTTACATTAAACATATATGAGATTGGAATCTGTTTTATCTGTTTCTCATGCACATGAGATCTTAATCTGTTTTTGGTTATCTATTGCAAATGTGTTTGGAATCTGTTTTGTCTTCCCTGTGTAAAAGTATGATACGGGCATGCCTTGGTACTTCTGATGCAACAATATATTTCACTTTATTCATAATGAAAACTGTATAATTAATATAAAGTTGGGGTATAGAATAACATTACAGTGCAAACACTGCAATCCCATAATCAGTTAGCCACGTATGGCTGGTTCCTTTTACTATCCTAGAAAAATTGCATTTCAGGTTATGAAACTAACAAGTAGCTTGAATCTTGAAGATGGCTAGGTAATAGAGCGCCAAATGAATGAATCAAAAAGACAATAAGGAATGGTTAAATTGTTCTTTATTTAAGGTCAATAGCCAATGTGTTTCAGGGTTAAAAAAACAGATCTTCCCGTGGACTGAAAAAAGGAAGGTTGTTGGTGTGTCTAATGTTACATTAGAAGAAGAGGGATTTGTGCAACTTCCAAAAGACATTGGCTATTGACTGTCATTAAGGTCCTTTACCATACCTGACCATCTTTTTCATGTACAGTAAGTCCCTACTTATGAACGAGTTCCGTTCTGGGAGCTCTTTCATAAGTCCAACTTGTTCGTAAGTCCATCCAAGATCAGTGTTTATAGACAATGGCTGCAAGTGCTGATCAATGTGTTGTGGTGGGGGAGTCCCCGTCAGGCACAGTGGGAGGACCCACTGTATTGAACGACATAAAGTGTGTGACATGTGAACTAATTTTCGCATCTTTGAAAGTTCACAAATTGAACGTTCGTATGTAGGGGACTAACTGTATTCAATAGAAAATATGGCAGTATGACAAGGGCAACACTGCCTACAAAAAGTGGTTAATTGTTACAATGTGGAAACATATGGAAATCTATGATCACGTAGCTAGGAAACTTCATTGCCTTATGTGGATTCCTGCTTGCCGATAATTATCCAGATTTGAAGACGCTGAATGTTTTTCATTTTGTAATTTTATCATGATTTGTTCACCGTGTCTATGTCCAACCTCTTTATGATCCATGGGATCAAATAAAATATTTTTGTAGCTATTGAATGCAGTTACTCCGCTTGGATTTTCATATAACCACTTTTTGTAGGCAGTGTTGACCTTGTCATACTACCATATTTTCTATTATGTACTTTGGGTTTATAAATCCACATTTATACTATAAGTGAGACGGAGATATTGCTTTGACACGGATATACGTGTCATATTAGGTGTCTCTTTTCTTTTTGTTTGACTAACTGTATTCCTTTTCTCTGCATTATCTGGAATACTTTTTTATTCAAGATGGTGGTGGGTGGTCACCTATAGCAAGGAGAAACCTTATAACAATACTTCTGTTACAAGACTACAATATTAAATGCCAAAACTGTATCAGATCCAACGCCACCCCTATCACAACTGTGCATAGTTTGAATTTAGCTCTTCTGTCAAATAGATTTTTTTCTGCTTTATAACGTGATGGTTGGAGACGTGTTTGGGACAGTTATCTATACCAGTTTATGTATATGCCATAAATCTAAAGCAAAACCCAACGTAACCTATATATTTCTATATATCTATTTATCTGACATACAACTGTTAAACCTCTTAACTTTTTATGATTGTAAGTGGGTGGACCACAAAAAAGAAATGTAGTACACCGAATGAAAACTGGACGCAGACCTGGACAATTCAAGCTGTATAACAAAAACGTTCATAAACCGGGGTTACCTTTAGTCCCGGTTCACACTCTTGTGACTTCTGATGCTACTTAAATTGCACAGAATCACATGACAAGGGAAATTTCAGTTTTTACTGGCTATCCAATGCGACTCAGGAAAAGGTTCCTGCACTACTTTGGCGTGTTTTACAGTGCTTCTTGGCACCATAGAATATGCAAAGTTGCATAAAAGTCACACTGTAAATTGTATCAAACTCACATTGCAATAGTATGATACAGGCAACCAAAATGTTATGCAAATTATGACTTTCCCTATAATTGGGAAACTGGACCTATTATTCACACCCAATAAGCTCCCTATTCTCTGCAAATGAAAGGACCATTAAGGAGGCTCAGAAAGAATAGGGCCATGGTCTACTGTTTCAAAAGATGTCAAGATTTTCTTGTACCTTTAGCCATTCTTACATTTTTATGTCAGCAAACACAAATGCTCCTGTGCTTGGGGATGGACTCGATGCAGGCTACAACCACATAAGGAATGTCCTGGAACATGCACACCTTGCTGCCCTCAAATGGACCGGGGGAAATCCAAATATACTGAATGAGGAAAGAAAAAACAGAGGGCGCACAGGCCTAGTGCATTACCATAAAAAATGTTTAATAAAAAATAAAGTATGTGTTGTACTCACAAACGACAATATAGTCAAGGCACATCATAAAAGACAGCTGGGTCAACACCACGTTGAGTAACAGTCCGTAATAGGGAGTATAGACATCCAAAAGGCTGACACGTTTTGAGGACTTGCCTCTTCCTCAGTAAATGCTTTACATTTTTATGTAATTTGAGTTGCCCAATTTTTTGTGACAGGTTTGGTTTAGTTGATCTGTTTAACTAACATTATTGACACTACAGTGCAGACACCAAATGCTGCCTGAGCATATTTTCAATGCTTTTCTCAGTAAGCTAGATGCAGCGAAACTCCATATTCTGTAACTAGGTTTTGACATATACTGTTAAATAGTAAGTGCTAGCTTCTTATTTTCACATTTTCTGCATGTTATTGGCAATGAGGCTACCCATCATAGTAATAGGCCAATAGTGACATGTGGGAGGAAGGGTAGGACTGGGTAAGTATTCAGCACTACTAGGACGTGTCTTAAGCTCTTGATGCCAGCCACACGCATGTATGTGGCCACTCGGTGGGTGGGCCATGATGTAGAGCAGCTGCATATATGCAGCCCTGTTAAAACTACTTATGTTCCCTACATGCTCCCAGCACAGTAGCCAGCAGTGATCGGTAAGCTTCCAATGCATACTTGCGATGGGGAGCTTTCTGATCATGTAACCACTGTGCTCGCCTGGATTTTACAGCAATGAGCAAACTGTTGGCACTATATAAATACTTTGTAATAATAATAATTTTAGAGCCCTTAAAGAGATAGAAGGCAGTCGGCACCAATGGGTTAAATTGACAGCTGCAGTCACCTGAGTTTTAACGTACCTGGCCTGCAGAAGTAAGATATGTGCAGGCACCATAGTTCTGGAGCCTGGCAGTACTGTTTTTATAGGGACAGATATACTTACAAATAAATAAATCAACAAAATGGGGCTTTCAGAAAAAAAAATCCGTAATATTCAACTAGGTGGATGTACCATAGTTCCAATGGTACATTTATCCCTCGCCACCTCTAAAACTGAGAACCAAGAGACCAAAGACCGCTAATCGCAAGGTTCTTGGTCTTCAGTGACATCCAGCGCTAAGCGCCAGGTTGTGAAAGTGTGCTGAGAGGCATAGCCAGCTGCCTGTCAGGCATCTGGGCAGATCCCGACATTATTGTTGGGATTTCTGTAGAACCTGGACCTGCTCTATGATATCAGTAGACTTTAGCCCACTACTGGTTGAAACTGTAACAAAAAATCAAAAGCACTTTGGCCATATTTCTGCTGTAAAAAGTAATGCATGTGATTTTACAAAATGTGTATGTTCCTACCTATTCAGGACGGATTTCTTCTCACATTGATTTAACCTGATACTACTTTTGTACTTTACAAATTTAATTTTATTGTGCATATTTTTTTTTTACAACCGTTATACACATTCTGTGTTTTGTTAGACACATTTTGCCCTTATTCGCTGCTACTTTAACAGATACCAGAGCATAGGGGCTATGAAGTTGATGGGGAGATAATATAATGGACAGTAGTATGTTAACATGAAGTATTCTGTTTGCTGAACTGGTGTCTAGGCAGATCTGTAAGAATTCCTCTCTTTGGAAATAAACCCAACACTGAGCCTCATTTTATTACCACTGATTTGCTACCACAGAGAATGAAAACCCACGTGTTAATTTGAAAATGATCCTTTAAACTGGAGCAACTTCTAATAACAAGCAGTGTGCATATTGACAGCCAAAGCAAAACATTAACAGCTTTTAAAATAAAGCTCTTTGATCTCTCACTGCTGCCTTTAGCCAGTGAACTGTTTTAATTGAATATGGGATTTTTTTCTGCCTGCGCTTAGTGTTGGTAAAACATGTCCTCTAGCCATGTGCTTCATTTAATAAGATACTGTGAGATACTGGTTTTAAGTTCCAATACTGTGAGAAACTTTAAAGCGAGCAAGTGAACATTGCAGGGATTATACAACAGCATGTGTTTTCAAGTGTTTACATTGAATTCAATGAAAAAAACATGTGCCTAAACATGGAAAGAATGAAGGTAGCCTTTAAAGCTCACATTTTTCATTTTGTGTTTCAATCATTTTCTTTCTTTTTTGGATAGAAGAGGGTTAAAGTTAATGTTAACATCTAAATTTCATGCAGCAAACTGTACATCCCTAGCTTTGAACACTTGTTTTACACATAAATTTATGAATGCTGAAACCAAGTTATAGGAATGTACAATGTCTTCAGTTCTTTTTTTTCTACCATAATTTTCCATATCCAGGAATTTTGTGAGATGTACTGCTGTTTAGGGTTTTCTAAGCCATGTCTCCAAGGTAAGGATTTGGGATATTGAAATAAATATATATATTAATATAACTAATGAATGATGGATCTCAGTATATGCTTAAAGCGGAATTTCATGCAAAAGGGGAAGTTCTGCTTTAAATCCCCGGCCATATTTTTTTTTTTTTTTTTTTTGGGGGGGGGGTACCTAGTTTTAACAAGTACCCACTCCCACTTATGTTCTGTTCGCCTAGGCAGTCTGAGTAGAAGTTCTCCTTCCCCACTGTCTTTTGGGACACGTCACA